CTTCTCCTGCCAGTGGAATCGTACAGTTGCTCCGCTTATTGGGCCTCATGCTTGGGATGCTTGCTCAAACTTGAGCTGGTTGGGGTGAAAAGGGGTTGACCACCCACTGCGAGCTAACGCTGCTGATGCAACCCAAATTGTTTTAGCAAAGGCTTGATGGTTACTGGCTCATTGGCTGACTCTCTGAGGCCCGACAACATGATGCGTCCGGCTGTAAAGGATATGCTGAGTGCAAACAAAAGCTGAGTACTCCACTGAACGGGCTTGTTGAAGATCACATGAGAAGGCTACTCATCAAGCTTCAAGCAGTGGAGAAGCTCGGGATCGTAATGTGCTGACCTGCCAAGATGTGGTCATGCCACCCCGCATGCGATTCCCTGGGCAAAAAGCAAGGCACAAAGACCTACTTGAGTCACATGTCACTCTTCAACAGCCAAGGGACAGGTGTAAAGAGCCTGCTCAGCCTCTTCTCAGAACAAAATGTGCTTCAACTCCCAAGGGCGCCCAATCAAGACGGTCCAGCTTCAAGTTTCCAGGGGCAACCTGTGCTCTCAAATGGCAGCGTTTTCCCAAGCCCTCGGCCGGCCCGAGACGCTTGGCCTGCTCCACTAGCCTTTGGATGTAGAGCTGCACCTCCTGTTGCTCCTCCTCCTGGAGCTGGCCATCCTCCACCGCCTCCCCATCCGCCCACATCCGCCCACATGGGTGGGTTGCCATGCCTTTGGGGAGACATGCGGACTCCTTGGGCGGTTGTGACCTTGCCAACAAGACCCGGCGTTTACATCGCGCTCTGTGCAAATGTGTTTGTTTTTCCTTCTGACTCCGCCTGCACCAAGATGTTCAGCAAAGTCTCCACCAACTGCAAGAGCTCCTCGGTGAGCGGCTTCACCTGGCACAATGCACGGAGAATCCAGGAACCGTTCACAGGCATCTACCAGAGCGAATTTTAAGACATAGTGAAACGGCCAACACCGGTCAAATATTTGCATCAGACGTAGCTAAGTAAAAACGTTGATCTGAGCACCGTTTTCCTCACGAAGACCTTCGGCACGCGATGCTTTTCACATGATGTGTTTGCAAAAGCAGTGGCTGCGACCTCACAGCCGGGAGTTCAAAGGGAACCCAAGAAACGTGAGGCGCAGTTCGGCTGCGGCTCGGCTGAAAGTCTTTTAGATATTTAACATTTGTTCGGCGAACGCATCATGACAAGGTGCTGGGGGGGCCTTATGTTAATCAATGATTCTGGGCAGACGAATTGCTCGTTGATACACCTGACACCCTAGGCTAGAATGGACTCACAGCTGTGCCTTTTTCTACTATCTGGGAACACGGTGCAAGCATGAGCAGGAAAACAAGAGTCGATAGAGCTTCGGGTTTAAGCGTTGGTCTTCTAGATTGAAGTTTCAGACTTTGGTTGGCCTCAGGGCGCTCTGCACGGTCAGCGGAGTTTAGGGCTTATTACCAGCTGTCGAGTTCTTGCCAAGAAATGTGCAAAGGCTGGAATAATTGACATCATTGTGCTTTGTTGCAAGGTCCAAATGAGGTCCAATGCTGCAAGAGTTCGCATATTCAACTTGGTTTTACAGAACAAAGGACGTTGATTGAGGCTTGCCTGTGACAAAGGTTGTGTCAAGTACCTATATAGTGGCCTTCGGGTGTTGAGGGCCAATGGGTGTGACCGCGGGCAAGCCTCATTCCCTGCATGGTGCGTTCCTTTTTTTTCTGAATGCCAAGCACAAAGAGGCAACAGCGGAAGAAACCCCGCTTAAATAACAACTCCTTTGATGAAGGTTGCGCAACATCTCACCGGGGCTGTCCCGAATCCGGATCCCACCACGTGGCTCCTTGAGACTCCTTTCCGTGCGACCTCAAACGAGAGGTCTGCTTGGGATCGCTCACGGCCGAGCCCGGGCCTGGCGCATAAGCAGGGCGTTGAGGCCCGCAGCCTCCTCGCCGGCGGACACCGTCCAGGCGTTGAATGCCAGATCCTCGAGGCGAAGCCACACAAAAATGGCCGGAAGTAAAACATCCTGCCGAAAGAGCAGCTTGTTTGGAAACTGAAAACAAGATTCAAGGGAAGATGATGAAGATGGATCCGGAACATTTGACCATGCAAATGTGGCAACAGCCAGTTGACGCTCTTGCCTTTTGTAAGTTGACGGTTGCTGGCCGACAATGTGAACAGGATCAATCACATGCTTGCTTGTTTCACTAATATGACAGCCAACATGGTCCAAACCAAGATCAGGTTCTATGAGCCTCAGGGGGTGAGCACAGGACTTCGGCCATCACCAGCAACAGTTTAGTCAATCTGCTATGTAATGAAGAATGAATGAAAATCTTCCGGCCCGGTCTGCTAGGAGTTGAAGATTGCACCTAGATTCCCTGCTCGATGTAAGACGTATCTTTCGAAAAATTGCGTGTAGCAAAACTCGACCACTTGCTGGTGTGCGCACGCCACTAGGAAAAAGGCAGGTAAGGAGTGGTCGTGGATGCCTTCAGACATGCTCGGGACATGCCGGATCTCTTTTCTCCGAAGGTCCTAAACATACCTGCATAATGGCAAACACTTACCTCATCGACGCATCGAGTCTTTGTTTGCTTCCTTCCTGGATGCAGCGCCAACAACTGGCACCATCCCGATCGGAAGTTCTAACTTTCCGACAAACAAAGTGGCACGGCCTTAATTGAACAATTTCAGATATCACACAAGTCGGCAACATTCACATGCAGAAGTTGTACCAGTGGGAAGCATGCCATTGTCTTGCTGGCCCCATGCAAGCCATGAGCTATATGCCAGCTGCTTGTATTCGGCTTCGCCTTAGAGACTCTCAGTCGTTGAATGATCTGTGCCATGGCTCCCAACATGAGCTTACAACAACGTTGGCAAATGATCATGACTCTCTGACTGAACACGTCAGGCAAATGGCCTAAAAGCAGGATAGGTTGTTGTACTGGAGATGTCGATTTCAACTGCAACACCAGAACCCAATACTGTCGAAGTACTCACATGAACTGCCGGAACTGACTCTTGTCCCATAGAGAAACCAAGCAGCATAAACCCGGGCGCAGGTCTGGTCCATTGCATGTAAGACCTCCGGTTCAGGTGCCGTGGGCACAATCAAGCTACGCACGCTGACCCTAAGAAAAGTTCAATTAGGACCCAAAACAAATTCTGAAGTGGTGACGTCATTCTGCTCTCAAGCACCAGGCAAGATCACGAGACTTAACATGGCCAAAGGGCACCCCAAATACAACGTAGCCACTAGCAAACAGGACAGCAAATGTATATAGAGGAGCATGGAACCAATATCCTTTGCGACACTGAAACCATGACTCGAGTCGCTGGAGATGTGTGTCCCATTCTGCTGAGGTTCCTTGATCGACTTGGGAGGAAAACTCAGACAACTTGCAGCGAAACTCATGCAATGAACCGATGGAGGGATGAACGCTGGAGAGCTGCAAAAACATGATCGAAAGGGGCACCATCGGTGCCATTCCAGCAAAACACACCGAAACTTAGTAATATGCGTTGGCCGTGCGGATTTGCACCACTCGTGCAATGCACACACACACGCACACACACACACACAAGTACCCCCAAACTGCTTCGACATCCAACATCGACGCACACAAACAAACACACACACACACACAAACACACACACACAGACACACACACACACACACAAACAAACAAACAAACAAACAAACAAACAAACAAACAAACAAACACACACACACACAACAAAAAAAGACCAAAAAAAAACGCACACACACACACAAGTTGATGTTGCAGAAGGTGGAAGATGATGATGACATACGAGAGGTTTACAAGCAGTGGTGACACTGCCCTGACACTAAGCGTGTGACGCCGTATAAGGCAAAGTACTAGAGTAAAGTTGCATTTCCAAATAATGTTGGCCACAGAACGTTCTTGGTACAAGGTAACACTGAATGTGATGATGCGCGCATGCATGCACGCACGCAGGCAGGCAGGCAGGCAGGCAGGCAGGCAGGCAAACAGGCACACAGGTACGCACGCACGCGCGCACAGGCTCGCACACACCCACGAATGCGCCTGGCGCGCTTCTTGGGTATCCTTTTGCAGAACCTTCGCAAGGATAAGGGAACAGCTGCGGCTAGACCTCCGCTTAGCCCTGCCTGTCGCTTCAGCTGAGTCCTGCCCAGGCCGAAGCATTCCCACCAGGCCGCCCGGATCAAGGGGTCCTAAGCGAGGGGCGCAAGGCGCAAGCGAATTCCAACGAAACAAACACCACCACCACCAACATTGTTCCCATTGGTGCCTCTCGCCGCCGTGGAAGGTTCGCGACCTTTTTGCAGCACACCCGTTCATGCGCACCATCCCAGCATTGGCCAACGATGAGGACTGCACACATGCCAGCCAAGTGGTAAGCGCACCCGCTCACGTGCGCCCTCAGTGCCAGCCAGATGGTAAGAACGCCGACTCACGTGCGCCCGCTCAGCACTGCACACGTGCCAGCCAGATGGTAAGACACCCGCTCTCGCGCACCCCCTCACGTGCACCCGCTCAGCACTGCGCACATGCCAGCCACATGGTAAGAACACCCACTCACGTGCGCCCGCTCAGCACTGCACACATGCCAGCCAGATGGTCAGAACACCCGCTCACGCGCGCCAGCTCAGCACTGCACGCCAGCCAGATGGTAAGAACACCCACTCACGTGCGCCCGCTCAGCACTGCGCACATGCAGCCAGATGGTAAGAACACACGCTCACGCGCGCCCGCTCAGCGCTGCACACATGCCAGCCAGATGGTAAGAACACCCGTTCAAGCGCATCATCCCTGCACCGCGCCCTTAAAAACTTTCCACGGCTAGGCGCAAGTTTGTTTCTTGGTTTCGTTCTTGTTGTTGTTTGTCAAAAACGGACTTTCTTCAAAAGAAAGCGGTTGACAGTTCAGCGATTTGGAAACAAGGGCCTTGGAAAACGCGCCGCCTTCCACGGCGGCGAAACAC